ATTGCTGGGTCTAGTGGTAGATTAATTCCAATTTTCCTGAGGAATCTCCACACTGATTTCCAAAGAGGCTGTATGAGTCGGCACTCCCACCAGCAGTGGAGGAGTGTTCCTCTCTCTCCACATCCTCTCCAGCATAAATTGTCTTCGGTGTTCTTGATTTTAGCGATTCTGACAGGAGTAAGATGGTATCTCAGAGTTGTTTTGATTTGCATTTCCCTGATGGCTAAGGATGTTGAGCACTTTCTTAAGTGTCTCTTGGCCATTTTAGCCTCCTCTACTGAGAATTCTCTATTTAGCTCTGTACCCCACCTTTTAATTGGATCCTTTGGTGTTTTGGAGACTTGCTTCTTGAGTTCTTTGTAAATTTTGGAGATTAGCCCTCTGTCAGATGTAGGGTTAGTGAATATCTTTTCCCATTCTGTGGCCTGCCTTTTTGTCTTTTTGACTGTGTCCTTTGCCTTACAGAAGCTTTTTAGTTTCAGAAGGTGCCATTTGTTAATTGTCGATCTCAGTGCCTGTGCCACTGGTGTTATGTTTAGGAAGTAGTCTCCTGTACCAACTCGTTGAAGAGTATCTCCCACTTTCTCTTCTAAAAATTTCAGTGTGACTGGATTTATGCTGAGATCTTTGATCCATTTGGACTTAAGTTTTGTACAAGGCAATAAACATGGATCTATCTGCAGTCTTCTGCATACCAGTACCCAGTTATGCCAGCACCATTTGTTGAAGATGCTTTCTTTTTTCCATTGTACAGTTTTAGCTTCTTTGTCAAAAATCAAGTGCTCATAGGTGTGTGGGTTAAAATTAGGGCTATTGATTCATTTCCATTGGTCTACCTGCCTATTTTTGTGCCAATACCAAGCTGTTTTCAGGACTATAGCTCTATAATAGAGATTGTAGTCAGGTATGGTGATGCCTCCTGAAGTTCCTTTATTGTATAGGGGTGTTTTGGCTATCCTGGGCCTTTTGTTTTTCCATATAAAGTTGATTAATGTTCTTTCCAGGTCCTTGAAGAATTGTGATGGTTTTTTGATAGGGATTGCATTGAATCTGTAGACTGCTTTTGGCAAGATTGCCATTTTTATTCTGTTTATCCTACTAATCCAAGAGCATGGGAGATCTTTCCATTTTCTGGTATCTTCTTTGATTTCTTTCTTTAAAGACACAAAGTTCTTGATATACAGGTCTTTCACTTCCTTGGTTAACATTATCCCCAGATATTTGATGCTGTTTTTGGCTATTGTAAAGGGTGATGTTTCTCTGATTACTTTCTCAGTCACTTCATCATCTGTATATAATAGGGCCACTGATTATTTTGAGTTTACCTTGTATCCTGCCACATTGCTGAAGGTGTTTATCAGCTCTAGGAGTAACCTTGCGGAGTTTTTTGGGTCACTTATGTAAACTATCATATCATCTGCAAATAGTGAAAGCTTGACTTCTTCTTTTCCTATTTGTATCCCCTTTATTTCCTTTTGTTGTCTTATTACTGTAGCTAGAACTTCAAGTACAATATTGAAGAGATATGGAGAGAGTGAACAGCCTTGTCTTGTTCCTGATTTTAGAGGAATTGCTTTGAGTTTCTGTCCATTTAGTTTGATGTTAGCTGTTGGTTTACTGTATATTGCTTTTATTATATTCAGGTACGTTCCTGTTATCCCTGATCTCTCTAGGACCTTTATCATGAAGGGGTGCTGGATTTTGTCAAATGCTTTTTCAGCATCTAGTGAGATGATCATGTGGTTTTTCTTTCACAGTTTGTTAATATGATGGATTACATTGATAGATTTTCTAATGTTGAACCATCCCTGCATTCCTGGGATGAATCCTACTTGATCATGGTGGATGATTTTTCTGATGTGTTCTTGAATCCGGTTTGCGAGTATTTTATTGAGTATTTTTGCATTGATGTTCATGAGGGAAATTGGTCTGTAGTTTTCTTTCTTAGTTGTGTCTTTGTGTGGCTTGGGTATCAAGGTAATTGTAGCCTCATAGAAAGAGTTTGGCAGTGAGCCTCCTGCTTCTATTGTGTGGAATACTTTGAGGAGTATTGAAATTATCTCTTCTTTGAATTTCTGGTAGAATTCTGCACTGAAGCCATCTGGGCCTGGGCTTTTTTTGTTTGGGAGACTTTTGATGACTGCTTCTATTTCATTAGGGGTTATAGGTCTGTTTAGATTGTTTATCTGTTCTTGATTTAGTTTTGGCAAGTGATATCTATCCAGGAAATTGTCCATTTCCTTTAAATTTTCAAATTTTGTGGAGTACAGATTTCCAAATATGCCCTGATGATTCTCTGGATTTCCTCAGAGTCTGTTGTTATGTCCCCTTTTTCATCCCTGATTTTGTTAATTAGCATGCTATCTCTCTGTCTTTTCGTTAGTTTGGACAGAGGTTTGTCTACTTTGTTGATTTTCTCAAAGAACCAACTCTTTGTTTCATAGATTCTTCTCAGTGTTTTCCTGGTTTCTACTTGATTGATTTCAGCCCTCAATTTGATTATTTCCTGGCGTCTGCTCCTCCGGGGGGGAGTTTGCTACTTTTTGTTCTAGAACATTTAGCTGTGCTATTAATTCTCTACTATGACTGTTCTCCAGTTTTTTCATGTGGGCACTTAGTGCTATAAACTTTCCTCTCAGCACTGCTTTCAAAGTGTCCCATTAGTTTGTGTATGTTGTGTCTTCATTCTCATTGAAATCGAGCAAGTCTTTAATTTCTTTTTTTATTTGTTCCTTTACCCAGGGATAGTGCAACTGTGCATTGTTCAATCTCCATGAGTTTGTAGGGTTTCTGCGATTTGTGTTATTCTTGAATTCTGATGTTAATGCATGGTGGTCTGATAAGATGCAGGGGGTTATTCCAATATTTTTGTATCTGTGGAGATTTGCTATGTTTCCTATTATGTGGTCAATTTTAGAGAAGGTTCCATGTGGTGCCGAGAAGAAGGTATATCCCTTTGCATTTGGGTGGAATGTTCTATAGATATCTGTTAAAACCAGTTGGGTCATAACTTTTATTAGTTCTTTTTTTTCTTTGTTAAGTTTCTGTCTGGAGGTTCTGTCTAGCAGTGAGAGCGGAGTGTTGAAGTCTCCTACTACTGGTGTGTGAGATTTTATGTGTATTTTGAGCTTTAGTAATGTTTCTTTCACGAATGTAGGTGCCTTTGTATTTGGGGCATAGATGTTTAAAATTGAGACTTCATCTTGATGTACTTTTCCTTTGATGAATATGAAGTGTCCTTCTTCATCTCTTTTGGTTGATTTTAATTTGAATTCTAATTTGTTAGATATTAGAATTTCTACACCCGCTTGTTTCTTGGGACCGTTTGATTGGAAGATCTTTTCCCAAACCTTTACTCTGAGATAACATCTGTCTTTGATTTTGAGATGTGTTTCTTGTATGCAGCAGAAGGAAGGGTTCTGTCTGCATATCCATTCTGCTAGTCTGTGTCTTTTTATAGGCAAGTTGAGGCCGTTGACATTGAGGGATATTAATGAACCTTGATTGGTGATACTTGTTTGTGTTTGATTTATTGTTAGTGAAGTTATTTTGTGTAGTTTCTCATCCCTTTTTTTTTTTTGGTGTTTTGTAAAGTGGGATTATATATTGCCCGTGTGTTTGTGAATGTAGTTATCTTCCTTGGCTCTATGTTTTCCTTCTAGCATTTTCTGTAGAGCTGGATTCATGGATACATATTGTTTAAACCTGGCTTTGTCATGGAATATTTTGTTTTCTCCATCTATGGTAATTGATAGCTTTGCCTTTTTCTTTAGCTGCTCTTAATATTTTCTCTTTACTCTGTAGTTTTTATGTTTTGATTATTATATGGCGAGGTGACTTCTTGTTCTGGTCCAGGCTATTTGGTGTTCTGTAAGATTCTTGTATTTTCATAGGCATGTCTTTCTTTAGGTTAGGGAAGTTTTCTTCTATGATTTTGTTGAATATGTTTTCTGTACCTTTGAGTTGTATTTCTTTGCCTTCTTCTATACCTATTATTCTCAGGTTTGGCTTTTTCACGGTGTCCCATATTTCCTGGATATTTTGTGTTAAGGATTTGTTGGTTTTGAGATTTTCTTTGGTTGACGATTCTATATCCTCTAATGAGTCTTTAACATCTGAGATTCTCTCTTCTATCTCTTGTATTTTATTGGTGATACTTGTATCTGTATTTCCTGATCGTTTACCCAGATTTTCTATTTCCAGCATCCCTTCTTTCTGTGTTTTCTTTATCGTTTCTATTTCAGCTTTTAATCCTTCAACTGTTTGAGTTGTTTCCTTAATTTTTTTGGTTGTTTTTTCTTGGTGCTCTTTAGATTCTTTGAGCGATTTGTTTATTTCTTGAATTTTTCCCCCATTTCATGGATTTTTTTGTTTGTTTTTTCTTCTATTTTTAAAGGGATTTCCTCGTTTCTTCTTTGAGGGTCTCCTTCATCTTCATGAAATAATTTTTAAGGTCTGTCTCTTCTTCTTTGTCTATGTAGTGCTTTTCGGGTCTTGCTGGTGTTGGATCCCTAGATTCTGCTGGGGTCATGTTGGTGTTTCTATTGTTGAGTGAGCTCTTATTCTGTCTTCTTCCCATCTCTTCTTCCAGTGGGTGCTGGTGGTGTCTTTCCGTCTCCACTGGTCTCCTTCCTTCTTGCAGCTGAAGCTGCTGATGCTGACACGGAGTTTGGGTCCTGGTAGGGCTGATGTCTTTCCTGAAGCTGGACTTGCTGTGTTTGGGGTTATGGATTTGCTGACATCTTTGCTGTGTGGGCAGGTTTCCTGAAGCTGTACTCACTGGGGTTGGGGTCTTGGAAGGCTGATGTCTTTCCTGAAGCTGGACTCGCTGGGGTTGTGGTCCTGGAAGGGCTGATGTCTTTCGTGTGTGGGCGGGTCTTCTGGATGCCAGGAGCAGCCCAGAAGATCAAAGGGATGGGTGATGGGCTGGTGGTCCCCGCTGGAGACCCAATCTCACCTGAAGCTGGACTCACTCTCAAATATTATCTTCACTCCACCAGCCTCAAGCCGACCCCTTGGCGACATGGGACTGCATAATTGTACAGTGGCGCAGGAGTCCCCACACCAGGACAAGCTCCGGTTCCAGTAGCTGCACCAACCAGCGCATACAACCGCCTTAATTTTCTTAATGCTGATGAAAAAGGACAAAGTGCAGCAGAAAGGCACTGGACTACAGAGAAGACTTCTGAACTGAACCAACTGGTGTATTTTAAGGATGTTATGACCTCAGTCTGGAAACCAGGATATGTGTTACTTTGGGGAAGGGGCTATGCTTTTTTTTTCCACAGGAGAAGAAAAGCTTTGGGTTCCATAAAATTTAATTAAGATTCGATCAGAACAGAAGACATCTCAGGAGGAGGAAGTTAACAGCTCATTTACAAATTCATATTCTTCCATGGGTAAAGTGACTTCCTAAAAGGAAAGAGAAGTGTTTTGTTTTTTGTCTTCACAGGTGAACTCAGCAAAGGATACTGGACATATGGATTCCTGAAGACAAATGAATAGCTACCTTGAGGACCATCAAACAAACAGTAACTCACTGTGTGATATCAAAGTCTAAATCTCTCTATTTTGTTTTTCATAGTACCCTTTTTTCTTTGTTTCTTCATATACTTCAGTCCCCATTCATTTAACTGAAGCTGGCTCTGGAGTTGGATTGGCTCTCCTACTATAAATTCAAGCATATTATTTAAATACAATTCAGAATTTCTGTATTATATCAAAGAGTCATTGATATAAGAAAGAAGAAAATAAAATTAGGGACTGTTATCTGTGGATTTCTTTTTCTAAATCATCTAATTTCCTTCATGTTTACCATCTTTCCTATTGTCACCTCTTCCAGTATGCATACATATAAAAGTTAAAAGATTTCTTTGTTAACATTAATGTTTGAGTTTTCCAGAGAACAAGGGATTTCCTGACAGCTATCTTCAACTGCTTCAGAAAGAGAATGAGGATCCACTTACTTGACTTCACCTGATTAGCCTGGAGGCATCTGAACTGCCCCACATCATTGACTCCACCTGACAAGCACTATCCTGAAACCGGCTTGAAACTACATCACTCTACACAATTCCGGACCAAGAAACTGAAACAGCACATCTTCTACAATATGGCCAGAGCTTCAGACGAGAGCTTCAATCAACGCTAGAACCCCAGTCAAGAACTTCAATCAAGCATCTCCTGCCATACAGAGACTGTCTGATCTACTGAGAGTTTGTTATACTAACATTTTTCTTCTCACATGTCCCCATGAGATTATCATCATCCCATCTCAGCAGGAAATAGAATTCCACACCCCCTCTCCCTACTATTGATATTATAGGATAGTTTACACCTGTTAGTGTTAGTTTTCAATTATTTTAGAGTTGGGATTGGAAGGAGGTGTTCAGATTTGGGTGTTTCTTTCAGATAAGTTTAGGTTTAGATAGAATAGATGTTTGATACATTTTTTTCATAGACACAAATTAGTTGTCCTTTTTCGACTAAAAGGGGAATTGTAGGAGGAAGCCTTTATGCCGCCATTAACCATGTGACTTACTAGAGGTGCATACAGATGAGGTAATAAAAAGCGGTTTACCACATCACTAACCACACCCACTTTAGGCATGACTAAAGACGTATATGGACGGACATAAAGATGTATACGTAAGTTGGCGGTTAACTATGTCACTAGCGAGGCCCACTTTTGGGCATGGCTAGGGGGCATTACGGGGGAAGGCATAAAAGACTGAAGAACAGAAGTCTGGGTCTCTATTCCGGATTTCGGCTTCCATTTCGGTAGCGGAATACTACTGGGTTCATCTGGGTTACTTGTTTGGTATCTTGTGAGTAATTTCTACAATAAATACTTAGTTTTACTCTCAGTAAGTGTGCCATTTATCATTACAGCATCATTTGGAGCATCATTACCATCTTGAAATAATTGTAGTAGTGACTCCCAGTGGTTGGGAGATAAACTCTGGAAGCAGGCAGACCAAATAAGAAGCCATGGAAGACATTCCCAGAAAATGTTCATTAAGATGAAGTGGCCCAGATAATGAGAAGATAAAGGGAAGATGAATAACTAGGTGTCAGAATGGAGGGATACTCACAGGATAAAACTGATAAGATTACAGACAATGAGAAAAAAGACTGAAGCCAAGATAAGTGTTTCGTTTTGGTTTTGGTTGCTTGAGCATTTACTTATTGACATGGGGATAAGGTTGAGGTTGGAAATGAGTGATATATGAAATTTTAGACCAACTGAATTTATAGAGCTCCTCAAATGACTACATGGAGAGATCTATTAAATATTAGTCCAAAATTTTCCCCATAGGTTTGGGGCATAGTATGATGACTTAGTAGGTAAAATGCTTGGGTCACAAATATTATGATCTGGGCTTAAATCACTAGGCTTTGCTTTAAAAAATTATTGGCATTAGGATGTGCTTGTATTTTCAAGCCTGGGAGTCAGAGATAAGAATATAGACAGCAGGGTCTTGCTAGCCAGCCAGTATAGCCAACCAGTTATCTCTAGCTTCAGTGAGAGACTTTGTCTCAAAAAATGAATGGAGAAATACTGAGTAAGATACCAAACATCACAATCTGACCTCTCCATTTGTATGACTGATGCATGTATACAACACACACACACACACACAGGTTTTCTCATTGTACCTTTCACACATTAGGCAGGTTTTCAGCTAGGTAGGACACATATATTATTAAGAATGAGCAACCCTCTATGGTTACTACACTCCCCTAGAATCTAGACTACCAGAGCACCATCATGGATATGTCTATCTATGACCACTACTCAGGAATGATTTGCACCTGAATATGAAACAGCATCTCCTTTATAAATGAAGGTCACACTGACATCCATATTTTGAGATCAGGGATGATATAACAAACTTTGTTGACTATATTGCCTTTGTTTCTTATAACTAATGATAAAAATCAATAACACCACACAGTTAGAATCAAGATACATGGAATGACTTAGAAAATATGAATATGTTAGCCGGGCGGTGGTGGCACACGCCTTTAATCCCAGCACTCGGGAGGCAGAGGCAGGCGGATCTCTGTGCATTCGAGGCCAGGCTGGACCGATAGCCTCTGAAACAATACAGAGAAACCCTGTCTCATAAAAACCAAAAAAAAAAAAAGAAAAAAATGTGAATATGTTTGTGTTACTGTCCAGAGTTCACATAACCAATCTATGGTAAAGATGTTTCCAAGTTACTGCTAAATAATTATGTCTTTATAGTTCACTTTGCCTACTCTGAATCACCAGCTCTACCCTGAAGTTGGTTTATCAGACCTTAGTTAAGTGACTGCTACACTTATTATGTTTAATCATGTAATATTATATGGACATTTAATATTTGACTATGTAATCCATGGGAGAGAAGTCACTTCTCAGATATAACTATATTAGAAGATTTTAGAATATCTCTTGTAGAAGGATGCTTAGTATATATCTTTTGAAATTAAAGTGGTTTTACTCATCTCAATATTTCTTTTATTTAAATGCATGCAAGAAGAAAATACATTTCTGCAGTAATGATGTTCTCACAATCTCAGCATGTCATCAAAATAGCCTGCTAAATTCACATTGTGTGAAATAAAAACCCACTGTGATTGTTCTCATTGGGGATGGTGGATGCCTTTATTTTCGATGAAATGATCTGAGTCATCTTTGTGTCTTTCTTACAGCCCAGCCTCTATAATCTCCCAGCTGCCACTTCACCTCTTGAACCTTCATGATCTGGCTGCTTTCCTGACATCACTTGCATTTATGCTCCACTGAGACAGAAATACACAATTCCAGTTGTAGCAAAAAGTACAGATAGAGAGCCAGAGAGACATTTCAGCTGAATAGCCTGAGCATCACATGTCCTAGGGCTTTGGTTAGGCAACTGCACAACCAGGCCTTCTATTAAATTAAAACATATCAAAGCTACATCAGCAAAAATGGGTGATATCTGGCTTTCTAAAAGAATGGAAAGAGTCTATTAGGCAGAACCTTTTATGAAGTAGTGTTTATTGAACAATTGACATCTGGTTTTGTAAAGAAGAAATGTTTGCAGCATATGTATTTATCTGATATCATTAAAGATATTGTCATGTTGATCAGACAAAACTTCTCAATGATAATTATTACCTAGTGATAACTGGCTTCAGTGATACTGTTTCTATGTATCAGACACAGCTAAGATTACAGATTCATCTCTATGCTTGAAGTCCCCATTTCACAAGTGAAAATCTCTTCTCTCTCTGGCAACACTCTTCATATCTTGCGAACACCTTCATTCAGTGGCTCTCACTCAAAGAGTAAGTCCTTTACTGTTGAGTGTCTGGCACTTTTCCTCACTTCCTAATTATTTAATGATGGTTTATCACGAGGCAGTGCATATATGGAATTAACTATCTCCAATCCTCCATTCAGTTGTTGTGAAATACATTATATTATGATTTACACATTTGTTTACCCTTTGAGTGTTCTCCTGGAGGAGTAAGAAGCATAAGGAAGTATCCAAAATAGAACTAGCAAGTTAACTGAACCTTAATATACACTAAACCATGGCTTAAAATAAGTTTTAAATAATGAATGTAATATTTAATTGTAAACCATCTTACTCCTCTCCTGATTCTTCAGGTCATGGGTACCTATATATTATACATATTCATATCTATTATATACACTGTATGACATTTATACCACATTACATACAGCATATACTCAATATGCATGCATGCATATTCATCCAAAACTTAGTATGATAAATCAAGTTACACACACACACACAAAGCACACACACACATACCTAGATTAAACATAGGTTATATGGTGAATATATATTGTATTTCTTTTCTGTCACTATAACAAATTACTTAGATTAAATCTTAAGAGAAAGAGGGTTTACTTCAGCTCCCAGCATGGCGAAGAAGTAAAAAGGAAGAGAAAATTGGAAGAGAAGATGTCACAGAAGTCCTCTCTGGAGTATGGCTCCAGTGTCTGATAATAGACTACATCATTTAAATCTCAATCATCTGTGAATAGTAACACAGCACAAGGACCAGGTTATGGGCCTGTGGAAAAGTCTTATCCAAACAATAGCATATACCATCCTGTGGTAGAATAACAATAACTTCAATTTTTACATTTGAAAAGATGTCTATAGAGAAACTCATAGAAAG